CTCCTTGTTTATTTGAAGCTAACGGACTCAATTCGATGCAAACGAAACTGAATCAAGGTCAAATAAGTTTTTCTATCCAACCTCGTCATCATGAGTCACCGGTGTTTCACTTGGAAGCTATTATTACAGATCGGGTTTGCTTGGATTTGCCTAGCACCAAAATTGACATATCGACGTGGAATTATATTAAAAATTTAAAGTTAGCCGATCCCGAATTTAACTGTAGTTAATCTATTGATTTGTTAATTGGTTGTAGCATATTTTCGAAGGTGTTGTTAGAAGGTAAAATTGAAGGTAAAGTGGGACAACCTGATGCCCTAAATACCGTTTTTGGATATATTTTGTTAGGACCTACTAGCACACCTAACCTTTGATCGATTTCACTTGTTTGTCTTTCAAATATTGAAGACCCACTAGATTCTTCATTATCGAAATTTTGGAAACTGGAAAACATACCGGAAAAGCCAGTTTCAGAACCAGAAGACGTTCTGTGCGAAAACATTTATCGGGAAACACATAATCGGGACGTCTCAGGTAAATATGTGGTGTCTTTGCCTTTTCGTGAATCGCCGCCTTGTTTGCAAGATAGCTATGATATTGCTTTAAATAAACTGCTTTCATTAGAACGGCGCTTATCTCTTCAACCAAGTTTGAAAAAAGAATATTCTTTTCATATGCAGGAGTATCTTGATTTAGGTCATATGCAGTTAGTCCCTAATGCCGAAAAGAAAATAGGAAAGTATTATATTCCACATCATTGCGTTGTGAAACCAGATAGTGTTTCAAATAAAATTCGAGTTGTGTATAATGCGTCTCAGAAAAGTCCCAGTCTTGGCAAATCTTTGAACGATTATTTACTGGTCGGTCCTAAGATACAACAAAACATAGTCTCTCTTTTGTTAAATTTTAGACTTAATCGTTTTGCGCTGTGTACTGATATTCGTTAGATATATCGCAATATTTTAATCGCTCCTGAACACACGGATTATCAACGCGTGTTATGGAGATTTTCTAGCCTTGAGAAATTCAGGAGTATCCTTTATTAACTGTTACTTTTGGAATAGTTTCTTCGCCGTATCTTGCTTTAAGAACCCTTCAACAATTAGCATTAGACGAAGGCTCTCATTTTCCTAAAGCCGTCTCGCTTATTCGTCATGCTTTGTATATTAATGATTTTATTTTTGGTGCTTTGACTCTCGAAGAAGCACAAACTTTAGTTGACGAATTGGTCACTTTGTTAAAGTTAGGAAGCTTTGAGTTACGGAAATGGTGTTCGAATGAACCCAAATTGCTGTCGCAATTTCCTGAATCCCATATTAATCCTCATTCCATTAATTTTGATCCAGAAGCAAATGGTCTTTCATTAAAAATCCTTGGTTTGAAGTGGATTGCACAGTCCTACGTCTTTCAATTTTTAGTCAAATTGCAAGACGTCCCTTGTACCAAAAGATCGTTTTTGTCCGAGTTAGCTCGAATTTATTATCCTTGTGGTTACCTAACACCTATTACGTTTTTCATTAAACGTTTAATCCAACAACTTTGAGCAGCCGGTCTTAAATGGGATGATCGCCCTCCTTCAGAAATAATTCGTGTATGGTAACAATATAAAACGGAATTATCTCTTATTTCACAGTTCAAAATTCCTCGTTTTTTGAATATTTCCTCATGTCCCATCTTAGAGCTTCATGGACTTGCCGATGCTAGTGAAAAGGGATATGCTTGTGTCGTTTATATTCGTAGTATTGATACTCGTAACCTTGTTCAAGTCAATTTACTCTGTGCCAAATCGAAAGTAGCTCCTATAAAACAGATGTGTTAGAGTCGTGGAAGCATATAATATTTCAAAATGTGTATGCTTGGTTAGATTCTCAAATCGTATTGCACTGGATTAAAAGTTCCCCCTCGAGATTCAAAACTTTCGTCGCAAATCGCATTTCGTATATCCAGTCCTATAGTCAAAATTATTCTTGGCATTATATCTAATCTCGAAATAATGCAGCCGATGCGCCTTCGCGAGGCATGCTACCGGCCGCTTTTCTATCAAAATTAGACTGGTTAACAGGTCCTTCGCTTTTGTATAATATTCCATTAAATTTTCCAGAGGTTCCTCCCTCATTGCAGAAAAAATCCTCTTTAGAAGAGATAAAGAAAGGTTGAGTATTTGTTTCCACTCATGAGGAACATTTTTTGTCTTGTTTGCTGAAAAATAAATTGTCTTTTATCTCGATCCAAAGAATTTTGGCTTTTATGTTGCGATTCGCGCACAACTCTCGTTATAAAAGGTCGAAAGCGTAGAATTAGAAGAATCGTTGATTATTCTTGTCAGATTTACACAGAAAAAGTATTTTGAAGAACATCTTCAATAAAACTCTTTTCCAAAACCATTTCGTAAGTAGGGAGTATTTTTGGATGATAGCACTCAGTGTTTAAAAGTAGGTGGTCGTCTATCTTAGTCTTCGTTATCGTATGAAGCAAAACACCCGTTTTGTTACCAAAAAAATCTAGCCTTACTACTATTCTAGTTCGCTATCATCATGAGAAGTATCTACATGCTGGATTTAGGAGTACTCAATTTTTGGTTAGTCAAAGGTTTTGGATAATGTCTTCTGAACAAGCCATTAATTCAGTATTGTCCAAATGTATTAGATGTTTTAAACAATCTTCCAAAAACTTACAACCCCCTATGGGTAATTTGCCTAAATTTGCCTAGATTATGGTGGACCGTTTTCGATAACCATGTCTCGTTACAGGGGAGTTAGACCTCAAAGGCCTATTTGTGTCTATTTGTATGTTACGCTGCAAAGGCTTTACATCTTGAATTAGCTAGTGATTTGACCGCGAAAGCCTTTTTGGCCGCTTTACAACGTTTTGTCGCTCGGAGAGGTCGAGTATCGCAAGTATTTTGTGATAATTGCACTAATTTTCATAATGCTTATCGACAGCTTAGTAGCTTTATGGAGAGTGCTCTCGATAAGAAAAATATTAAGTTTTCATTTGCTCCTCCTGCTGCTCCACATTTTGGCGGTATTTATGAACGCGGAATTCGTTCTGTAAAGGAACATATTGTTCGTATAGTCGGGGCACAAATTTTGACTTACGAAGAATTTTATACCGTTTTGACGTTAATTTAATCCATCTTAAATTCACGCCCTCTCACCCCATTAACCAATGATGTTGAAGATCTCAATGCTTTGACCCCAGGACATTTCCTGACTCTTGAACCCCTGACCTTTTTGTCTGTGCCTGATTTTTCGGAGCTATCCTTTAATCGTTTGGCCAGATGGTAGTTGTTACAGCGCATCCATAGAGACTTTTGGGCTCGATTGCGAAAGGAATATTTGCACACCTTGCAACAAAGGTCGAAATGTTTAGATCCTAGTTTTGTACCTAAAATCGGTACCTTAGTTGTTTTAAAGGAGGATAATTTAGCTCCGTGTAAGCGGCCTCTCGCGCGTCTTGTTGAATTACATGAGGGTAAAGACGGTGTAGCTCGAGTGGCTACCATGCGTACGATAACCGGAACCTTAAAACCGCCTCTTATCCGAATCTGTCCCTTGCCGATAGATAAAGATTAGATGGTCAGCATTTTTTACTGATTTTGTTTTGTTCGGCTTTTATCAATAGAACCACGACGAAACCACCATTTTAATTTAATTTTTATATTTAGTTTAAGTTTTGAATATTTGTTTAAGATTTGTATAGGAATTGTTTGTATTAATTATTGATTTGGTTGTTTAAATCATGATAGTATTTAGAATTCGTTTTATTTTTTAAAGAACTTATGGCCTTTAAAGGGGGGAGAATGTTTAAATTTAAATATGGTTGTATAAATTAATCAAGACATTTGTCCTCCCCCTGTATTCCTACAATCCCTATTGGTACCGCTCGGGTATGCTATGCATCGGGAAGTCGTTTTGTTCTTTGTTTTTTATAGTAGTGAATCATGGTAACTAGCGGTACGGTAAGTTCACCTAGTTTTACCTAAACCTTTGTATTGTTTTTTGATTGTTTATTGCAACCATTTAAATTTTGATACTATTTGTTATTTACACCTATGAGTGAAAGTTCATTTATCTTGCCAGAGCTATCGAAGGAATAGTTCCTATTAATTTAATTACTAATTCGTAATAGTTCATTATTTTGTTAACCCCCCACAACTTGATTGCCTATTCGAGCGTTAAAATCCCCCAATATTATCACGTTCCTTTGACTTGATTTGCTACTTTTTGCAGTTCGTCATGAAACATTTCCCTTATTGTTTGAGGCTTGTTATTTTTTGGGTTGTATAGTCCGATGATATGTAGGCCTTTCTTAGCATGTAGTACCTAATTTTGATTGTCCTTTTGATGTATATTTGTTTCTCTTTCAGAACTTGGGTTTTTATTGGTCCATTAAATTAAACGACCCGATATTCCATGTAGTTATTTTCATCGGAGTTTTGGATTCAATCCTATTTTGAGGCTATACATTGTTTCTTTAAGCAATATTGGTTTTTATGATTCGTAGGTTACTAACATTTTCAAGCACCCTTCACATTTTATTCTGACTTGAAATCTGCTGTATATAATATTATAATTATCTTGTTAGGTTAGTAATTACGATATAAATCATAACAGGACAATAACTCATAATGCTATATCGACATAAAAAATGTATATGTGATATGTCCATGTAACTAATCATGGCATCACAAGTAAATTCTATCAAAATTGGTATTCTTTTAAATCACATATTTTGAGTAGCCACACCCTAGACGTGTACAACAGTACAATTGAATTTTTACACGCAAATGTTAAATAAATCGATTATTATCTACAGTATAGTTGATTACTAGAAAGTTATTTTAAAAGGTAAAATTCCAAAATGAAAAAATTTCAGAGCATAGATAAGAATATAAAATATTAATCAATATCAGTATTTTATTAGTATTTAAGTTATATTATTTGCAAATATTTTGTGAAGAATCTTCTACCATTTAGATAATCCGATATATATTTTTCAGGTACTACAAAATGGTCTACAAAGCCGCTTTTATGTTATTAGTGCTTCCTTTAGCACATTGCAGAATCTACGATAAATGTACTTTGGCAAAAGAATTACGTGACGTTTACAAATTCCCTCGTAAAGAAATTCCAACTTGGATTTGTATTGTCCAACATGAATCACATTTTAATACTACTGCTATAAACACCCAATCCCATGATAATGGCCTGTTTCAGATTTCTCAAATATATTGGTAATTTAATTAATACAGTATTATATCACAAAAACCAAATACTCAAAACTCATTTTTCTCAAAATGTGAAGTGCTTAATGTGTAGTTCGCTGATATATAAAATTTTCTTAATATTTTTTAATTATAAAACTTTTACAAAACAATATTATTTATTAAAAAAACGTAATGGTAATTCATCCGTAAAATAGTTTCGAAATACAATTCAGATTTCTGCTTTATCTGAACCTTCTAAAATTGCAAGGTATAACAGACGTTGATAAAGATGTTAAAAGAGACATGGGGAATCTAAAATTTTGCATTCCACGACATGTCTCCTCAAATAAGTAGAAATCCTTATCGAATTGGTTTCTTGTACTCGTACAGAGTAGATCCGAATAAAATTAAAAAGACAGCAAATATTTGATTTCACGCCTAAAGCGTCTATATATCTGCTGATACGTATTTCGACCTAATAGTCTCATCAGAACAGTTCTGATGGTAAAATTGTAGAAGTGCAATAGCGCTATAATAGGCAGCCTTGTCTTAAACACGTGACAACACAAGGTTTTTTTGACAATCAAAAGAAAGTCTAAGTAAAGAAGGTCTGCCGTCTTTTTTCAGCATAGAATAAAAAACCTGCCTTCTTTGTACAAACCGCATGTTCAGCCGTAACTCCAACCTTCCTGGGTTCTGCAGGCATCGCATCGTTTTGATTTAGCATTTCAGACAAATGCATTGCGAAAAGCATCTGTTGCTGGAGGCTTGAAACTAATATTAAAATAATAGTTGAAAATAAACAGAAAGTAAGAGTACTTCACCTGTAGATTGTCAATCACTGATTGGTTGTACTGCTTCCAGAGTTTTTTTGCTGTGCAATCACTTGGCATATAGTGTATAGTACTTGTACAATGGTATTAAAAACTGTAGTGATTTTAAGAAAATTTAAAGAGTAAATTTTTAACCTTTAAATTTTTTAGTTTTTTGTCACCTTCTCTTAATTCTCTTGAAGACTGACATTCTAATAAATATTTCTTTAGAGATGCTCAAAATTGTAAAAAAAAGCTTTGGAACATACCTGTACCATTCCCTCGAGCCTTGGGGTTTCAGATTTGAACAATAAAATGTTTTTGAATAAGTGTTTGTTGGAAGCCTTTTGCTGTATGAGTGAAATAAATAAAATTAATAAATTGTTTGAATAACTGAAGCAAAAATATATATATCTAAATATAACCGCAAATAAACCTACCTCATTCAGTTCTCATTATTCCTCTTCCACTTATCTTCAACTATTTTTGTTTTTTTTGGGGTTTAGGATCCATTCTTATTAACACTGTTAATAGCAAAAATTAAAATAAAATTAGTATTAATTTACTTGAAAAAAGTGAGCATTTTATTGTTTGCAGGAAAGCAAATACACACATGTAATGTTAGTTACATTTGTTAACTTTTTATCTTAATATTGTTCTGAAGCTATTTTCTTGTAGCATTTTAAATGAATTATTATTTATCTGGGAATAAGCCACAATTAAAGGTTAAAGTACGTTTATTGACGGTTCAATTTCCACTTCGGAAATCGTTCTCAAAATACAAACAGTAAATTGTATTTATAAACAATCTACTGTTTGTATTTTGAGAACGATTTCCGAAGTGGAAATTGAAACGTTAATAAACGTACTTTAACCTTTAATTGTGGTTTATTCCCAGATAAATAGTAATTAACTTTTTATCTCATATCACTTCGGAAATCGTTCTCAAAATACAAACAGTAAATTGTATTTATAAACAATCTACTGTTTGTATTTTGAGAACGATTTCCGAAGTGGAAATTGAAACGTTAATAAACGTACTTTAACCTTTAATTGTGGTTTATTCCCAGATAAATAGTAATTAACTTTTTATCTCATATAAACTTTACATACATTTTTTTCCTTTACTTATAGAGTTTAGAAGTTAGGATTTTCAAACACACGGAGTTTGAGATTCTTGACCTGGTTAACTCACTTAACTTAACTCACAAACAACATACTTATTTTTCTCACACTGTTCTCAGACTGCACTTCTCGTTCTTAATGGTAAAGACACAATCATTAAAATCTCCTTATTTAATTTTCAAATCGACTATCCTATTTTCCCCCTCGTTCTTCCTAGCCAATCATACACATTCATTCTTTCTACCTATTTTCAAAATTTCCCATTTTTAAATTTTAAGAAATCAAGCGTGTTTTACCCACTTTGAGTTTTTCTTAAAATTAAGAGAAGATAATATACAAACCTTGTCTATCAAAAATTAATTTGAAATTCTTATCTGATACGAAACCATGTATAATTATTTGTAAGATTTTAAACAATATTTAAAACTTTCGAAATAACCCTGAAAGGTTGTTTCTGTACAAATTGTTCTTAAAAAATATTCACTATTGAAGTCCACTGTTCTCTAAAACACTTCTTACTTATTTATACTTATTTTATTTTATTCTTGAAATATTATTTAATATCTAAAATTAATTTTATTCTTGGTCTATTTCAGAATCATAATAAATCTCTGCCTTTGCAAACGACAAAAATTATTCGCATATGCAACTGATTTTTATTGGGGCAAGACAATCTCCCTGTATAGTTCCTTTCCTTAAGTAATTTTATTTTATGTCTTTTCCTTTCATTACTCATAATATTTGTATACGTTGTGAATATTGTACTCTCCTCTCATCTTTTTTGATTCAACATATCTCAGAACATATGTATTTATTCCATTTTTGTTATTCACCATGAATGGACCCTCGAAAACAAGCATGAACTTTGCACAACTATCATGTGTGAGATTTGGCACACGTAATGCCCTTATAAGCACCTTCTCGTGCCTCTGGAAAGTCACTGATCTTCGTCTTCTATTTCGATCCTGCCTTTGGATATATTTCTTATTGTTTCTTCGCAGCCTCCTCTGCACAGTTTCCAACACTTGTTGGTATTCTCTCGGCTCTGGATCTTTCCATGGTCTTCTCGGCATTTCCTCTTTCATGACGTATAAAGGGGTCTCTTTTGTTACCCTACTCGGTCTGATGTTTAAATAATTCTCTATTGCCTCTACTTTCCTATCCCATCGTCGATGTTGCCCATTTGTCGCAATCCGAAGAAGATTTATTCCTGAACAAGTAGTTTTTTTATAGATGAGGAAATCACAGGTTTTATTTTTTAAAACCTTCTTTCTTCGTCTTCTTCTGGGCTCATCTCTTCTTTTGAGGAATCCCAGGTTTCATTTTTTTTTTAACTTTTTCTGCTGCTTTCTCCTCTTTCTTCTTTGTCCTTGTTTCGTTGTCAAATTCATCTCCACCGTTTGTTCTTTATCTGAATCGTCCCTTTTACGTTTCTCATGTTCCTTGTCGCTTTCCAATTAGTCGTGTTCTTCTTTTTCATCCGTGAGTTTCATCTTGTTATTTTTGAAATCAATTTCTACATGTGTCTCTGTCAATTCGTTCACTCCTACGATCATGTTTCTCGTTGATAAATCCATTTACAAATTTTAAATTTATTCCATTTCTTTGATCACTGTTTCCTGCAGGTTTTATAAATTCCTTCGGGTGACAAAAAATTCCGGTTTTTTATTTTGAGTGAGAGCCTTCGTGAAAAGACGCCTGTTTCTCTTCAGTGCTTCTCCTTTCGTCGCTTTGTCTCCCTTCCTTATATTCTATTTGGGTATTATTAACCCCTCTTCTATTTTCTCTTGGTTTGTCGGATTTGTATCGGCTTTCTTGATAATTCTATTCATTTCGTCCATTATTAATTCTGCTCACATGATCTGTGCTAGTGGTGTTTTGAGTCTGGTTTTCTCGATATCTGTCCTCGTTCCATTGCCGATTCCCAGAAATTCCTTCAGGTGACAAAACATTCATGTTTGATTTTTTGTTTCTAGTGAGCGCCTTCGTGAAAAGACGCATGTTTCTCTTCAGTGCTTTTCCTTTCGTCGCTTTGTCTCCCTTCCTCATATTCTATCTGGGTATTATTAACCTCTCTTCTATTTCCTCTTGGTTTGTCGGATTTGTATGGGCTTTCTCGATACTTCTGTTCATTTCGTCCATTATTAATTCTGTTCTCATTGCCGATTTCTTTGTTCGTAATTTCATCATCAGTTTTGTCTATTTTCGTTTTCCCTCCTGGGAATGAATTCTGTTTTTGTATAGTCCTTCATATAATTTTGTCCTCTATCTCTGTACTCATGTAAGTGTTTCTCTACATCTGTAATTTTCCTGCGATCTTCTCGCCTTTCTTTCTCTCCAGCGGGATTCTCTTATTTGTAGGAATTGGTTATCTATATATTTGTAATTTTGCAGAGTGATATGGTGTCCCAGCCTTTCTTCAAAATATCTTGCAATCAGTTCAACTAATTGTTCAGATGAATAATTATATTCTAGAAGCTTTGCATAATTATACTTGTAATGCGTTTTTTTTTGAGATACCCATCGTGTCATTGTATCTCCTATTTTGGCATTTCTTTGTTGATTTCTAATTGCTGGATTCTTCCCCAGAAATAGCTCAAAAATTTCTGTTTAAACTGGTGCCTACTGCCAAACTCTTCCTCTTTGCTGTCAAACCATAGACTAGCCTCATATCTAAGATGATTTTTGATCGTTCGTTCAGCTGTTTCAAAATTCCCAATGCATTGTACTTTCTTTTTAAGTTGTTTATCAACAGCACTGAGTGTAATTTTTTACATTCCCGTAAAAGTCTATTTTTATATCACCGGTACTATGGATGAGTTTTTTTCTTCTGTATCCAAAATTTTCTTGATTTTTGTTTTCTGTGTACTGTTTTTCTATTTGTTTTATTCTTTTCTCCACTTCTTCCATGTCTCCCAGAATAGCGTTCTCTAACTTAATTTTCAAATTCTCTGTTTTCTTTTTCTGGTCATTCTTTATCTCCGTCATTCTTTTCTCCACTTCTTCCATCTGATGTACCATTTCTCTCTTTATCCCCTCTATACATCCTTTAATTTCCTGTTCATAATTTTCCAAACGCTGTTCTATATT